CCATCGGTGGTAGAACCCATGAATGACTACTTAGGTGGGCAAGCTGATCCAACACATACCATGTGAATATATCCAAAACAATTATCGAACCACCAGAAACCTGCACTTTACCTTTTTTGGTAACTAGGACCTATAGAACCTGCATCCATATCCGAATCCTTACCATCGGACACGCCATACATTGCCTGTCCTCCACGGTCCAACCAGTGACATCACAAGTCAAGGTAAAGCAGTGTCCAGTACCGTGTATTAAAAGAAACACTTGTCTTCAATTATAGATAAACACATCTGCTAACAATCATTAAAGTCGACTCGGATTGAGGAATCGGGGAGCTGAGTTCGAATTCCAGTCAAATCACTTACGTGCTAATACCCTTGAGAAAGGTATGAATCCTCTTCTTCTCTTCTCAGCTATGGGTATGTAGCAGAACAGACCAGGTTCTATAGCATTGGATGGAAACTGGCCTAGTGCAGAAAGAAATGGCATGTATCGAAAAATACATGATTGCCTAAGCGTGTATCTGACTGACTGGTCGCCTCCTACACTGTCCACAATTGACAGTAATTTCTTTTGTCAAATATTCCTAGAACATACGTGACATCGTAAATATAAGGATGTCTCCAAAATTTCAGAAATGGAATATCCCACCCGTTTGGGACTCCCTATCATTCCTTGTTTCACTTCCAATAATTCGTATTTTCTTGTCATGAGCAGCCTAACTGATGTTCATTCTGACTCATCAGCAGTCATAGCACAAGTGATAGAGGTTTGGGCATAGCCATTACATGCATGGTTCAGTAGGGTCACCTATCATTACCATCTATTATGTTAGAATTGTTTGCGATAACAAGTAAGTGACACTGGCTCAAATCACATCTACATTAAATGCAGAAGACCAGATGCATATCAAGCAGGTCAATTCAGCGTTCTTTAGCGTCCATAGTATATGGGTGCAGAAGATCCATCAGGACCTCCCTGTTAACAGCGTAACAGCGCGTCAGTAGGGCTCACGATGCCGCTAATGAATTTAATTATTTAACCCATATCGTTACTAATCTCGCTAATGAAACCGAGGCAAATATTCTGTAAGTCTCTTGCTGTGCAACACTAACACAAAACGAATTAAATTATAAATCTTTATGAAGGTTAGTTTAGAGCGGCATGAATATATGTAGTGGAAGGGAATGGGTTTGGAAAGATTGTGTTGTGACAAGATCCATTTGAGGGGAGCTGACATACCTTGAAAATCAGCATTCAGGAAGTGAATTTTTTTGTGTTTGAAAACCGATCACCCGCGCAGCAGGGAATGAAACAATTTTCTTAGCCACCAAACCGTTTACATTTATTTGGATTCGTGAAGATAGCAAAATTTGAATAGACACAAACGCTGCAAAATACGTCAATCTCAAGAGAGAAGAGCCATTTTGAAGTAAAGACGTTATTTTCAGAGAAATCCTCCATTTCAACTTCGTTTTTAACTTGTAAATCTGTAACATAAAGAAGTGATTTAAAGAAAATGAAAAAAAGATTTTTTTCTTTTTCTTCAGCTTCCAAAATGGTGAAAATAAAAAACTAGAAGCAAAAATACAAGAAACAAAGAAAATTTTTGAAGAAAATAACCGGTAAGGCTTTTAGATTTTGTCTTGAAAAATATCTGTTTTTTTATATTCTGTTTACATTTTCATTAGTCTGTCGCCTACAACACACACACACACACACACACACACACACACACACACACACACACACACACACAGATTATATATAATATAAAAGGCTCAAATACTAATATTCCATGGTTATAATTTATTACATTGGAATCGTAATCACGATCCAATTCATCAGACCTACAAATTCAAGTATATACTCTCACCAAAAAAAAATAAAAAAAAATGTAGGAACGCAGTAATAACTAAATATAAAATCAATTAAACTTTCCTTGTCCATCCTAGTCAACAAAAGATATTTAAAAGAAAGTTTCCTGCCGAAGTATACACTAATCATATATATATATATATATATATATATATATATGTCATGAAGCCATTTATGACCTTAGGTTTCTGTTTGGGACCCGGAAGGAAATGTGTATACAACGGAAACCCAAAGAAATAATAATAATAATAATAATAATAATAATAATAATAATAATAAATGACATTATCTTGACCAATTTTAGTTAAAAAAATTGTGATGAAATGGAATGATCTTAAAATGATATTAACTGCTCAATTGGAAAGAATATCTGTTCTGATGAATGATTCGATGTTGTTCCCCCTTTACGTTGGAAACGCTGGTGATAACCGTTGAAATCAATTGTTTGATAAAAGAATTCAAAGCGATAACCAATTATTACGAACCATAAATGTAAAATACAAGAAAAGTGACCCACGGTCGTGGAGACGGGACAAAATTGTCATAAAACTTGACCGACCTCGAAACAAAACTTAACAATCTCCTTGAACAAAATCTCAGTTCAAAGCAGATACGTGAAAATGATAAAAAGATTTGTTCGCTTGTCATAAAGAAATGTTTCAAGCCTACTTGTCTATATTTTGTAGTTCTATTAAACATGGCGGCAAAGTTTATGGAGTAGAATAAAATAAACAGAAGAGTAACAAATAATCGTAACTTGACCTGAACTTCAAATTCTGAAAAACAAAAGAAAAATGATGTCTAGTTCTATATTTGTTTCTCTACTAAAGGAGCAACTTTTTCACAGTTGATGACCGAGTACATTTGAAAACAATTTTTATTGCTTTTAAATAACATGATAAAACATTAATTTTATTGAAAATATCGCCTTTCTTCATTCACGAATAGGATCTCTCCCTTGAGGAGGAAATTCATAAATCCAGATATAATTTTCACTGCGTATATCTAACTCTCACCATCGCCAATTCTAAGGAATCGATGGCGATGGTTGTTTAGGTAACTGGGAAATCCTGAAAGAATGAACTCTGTTCAAGAATAACAGGTGGCATTCTGGGTCTAATGTCACCTCTCAACTCCACTCATGACCCCCAGGAATAGATATCAGGTAAATATGGGGTCCAAAACACAGGTTTCGGTGTCATGACCGGCATATCTGGTCGTCATGACTGGTTTATAATCAACAACAGGAACCCGATCGTCGTCCTGACAAGTATTTTCCTTGGCAGCCTACAGATGGCTACATGTTCTTCTCAAATATGGGCTATGAGTAGAAAACTGAGCTCTATTTAAAAATTTAACGCAACAAAATTTTGAATTTAATTTCTTCTCGTTAGTAGACCAGCTTATTATAGAAGTAATCTCAAAGGTTACAAGTAACAAAATTCGAAATTTACTAACACAATTTGGCAACCTTTGTTCCAAGTGAAGCAGAGATGAAAGACTTATATTTCATTGCTATTTCAATTGTGATTTCTCTCAAAGACGAAACACGAAGAGAATATTAGAATATGGAACGCTATTTAAGGTTTAGGTTTAGGGTTAAGGATACTTGCTAAGCAATCAAAAACGATTTTGAAAGAAAGATGCTTTTCGGACTTGAAAGTTACAGAAGCCAATGAATAAATCAACAGGAAATAGAAATCAGCATAAAATGAATGATGAAATAAAAGTTAAAATTGAAACTGAAAGAAATATATCACAGCTTTCTTCACCAGGCTTGTAAAATTTAACTGAGGAAGAAAAGATTTAAAGAGAAAAAATGGAGATGGTACCAGAACAAATAGATATTTCCTTTTTAAAGTATATTAAGAGGAATAAAATAAAGATTAAAACAGAGGTACTAAAAGACTACAAACCACTTACAATCGGAAGTACTTACTATAAGAAAGGAGGAGATGTAGTTACTGAAAAGATTGATGTTGGCAAAATAAACAAAATAAGAGAATTGCAAAGAGGAAGAAATATAAAAACCAGGATGAGGGATGAGACATAGGCAAAGAAAAAAATATTTGCTTAAAGAAAGAAAGACAGTAAAAAAATACGAAAAATAGTAAGATGAAACGACGAAAAAAGAACAACCCTTATATATAAAGTAAATAGGAAAATTCGAGAGTCACATGACAGATTGAAGACAAGAAGAACAGAAGAAAACATACTTAGTGAGAGTAAATGGATGGCAGAACAGGATTTGGAAGAAATAGCAAAAAAGGCAACATTTATTACGAGCTACAAAAGGAAGGAAATTGTGGAGAGTCGTGATCGCCTGTGCCTTGAACGGACACGGCACATAAAAAAGAACGTAGGCTTAAGATAACAACAGCAAATTCAACAATTTAGACAAACCCAATCTTCCAGAATAACAAAGGATCATCGTCATCATCGCCGCGACCGGATGTGCTCGTAAGGTCGGTCCGCCATTTTTACAGACAAAGCAACTGAAGAAAGAAAACGGTAAAACAGCCGGGTGAGACTGATACAAAACATTTTGTGAGCAGAAAAGGAAGAATGCCTGAAGAACTTGTCAAGGGAATTATTTCACATCGAAAATGGACAATAAGATTGAAAGATTAAGAAGTTTAAATTTCAAGATGAAAGTTGGCCAGACACCATTGTTAACTAAATAAACGATTCACTACCATACATGATATTTACCATATATACAATGACGTACATGTGACAATACAGTGTATTCATATGTTGTATGACTGATGTTGACACACCAGTTAGTTTGGTACCTTAATGTAATCGATTTATATTACGTTTACGTTTAATATTGATTAAATTGAAACCCATTGAAGGTGTTGCAATTTTATTTTCTGTTCGATTATTTAAGCTCAAGATAGACATGACACAGCAGAAGAACATGAAGATGACACAGAGAGATAAAGACAGATTTTGATTTTATTGACAATGGCACTGAAAATAGGGCCTTTTTTCATTCACGGAATAGCATCGGGTTTGAAATGAAAATTTGAAGATAATTTTGCTGTGGATACCAAACATTTCTCACCACGAACTATAAGGAATTAATAGACGTTCGAAGTTGATAATATTCTGCAGAATTCTAAGATAAATAGATAAATAAGTAGAGAGAGAAGTGGGGGAGAGAGAGGAAGAGAGAGAGAGAGAAGGAGAGAGGGAATGAGAGAGAAGAAGAGGGAGGAAGAGAGGGGGGAGGAGAGGGAGGAGGAGAGGGAAAAGGGGGGGGAGGGAGATAGAGGATAGAGAGAGGGAGAAAGGAGAAGGGAGAAGGAATGATAGAGAAGACGAGAGAGATGAAGAGAAAGGGAGTGAGAGAAAGGGAGAGCGAAAGAAGGAGAGAGAGGGAGGGATAGAGAGGGGAAAAGGAGAGAGAGAGAGAAAGAGAGAGAGGGAGGGAGAAAGTGAAGGAGAAGGAGAGAAGGAATGAGTGGGAGAGAAAGGGGGAGAGAGAGGGCATGGAGCGAGAGAGGGAGCGAGAGAGGGAGAGAGAGAGGGAGAGGGGGAAATGGAGGGAGAGAGTGGGAGAGAGAGAAGGAGAGAGATAGAAGGAAAGGGAGAGTGAGAGAGAGAATGAGTGTGTGAGAGGGGGAGAGCGAAAGAGAGAGTGGGAGAGGGAAAGTGAGGGGAAGAGCGTGAGAAAGAGAGGAAGAGAGAGAGAGAGAGAGAGAGAGAGAGAGAGAGAGAGAGAGAGAGAAAAGAATGTAGGAAATTCTCAGGTGGAATGAAAAAGTTGACATGAATGGATTAGAAGAGTAATCTCCTAGGAACTGAGCAAACGAGTGAAAGTTTGGTCATACCAAGTTTCTATACAGAAACCGGATCTTGTGTAAGGAATTTAAAAAAAAGGTAAAATCTTTAGTGACGTTTTCAAACGGATTCCTCCAATCTCAGTGAAGATCAGACTCAGACGCCGTTAACAAAGAGAACATTCAGGTTGTGGATCACAGAGAAAACTTGAAAGGAAGCGAAAAAAATGGAAAACAAATATCTAAACCTTGGAAGAGAATTGAAAATGAAAGGTGACTTTTCTGACCATAATTACTCAGCACACTTCCCGAAGGCCCACGCTAAGAGGCTCAAAAATAACTAGTAATATGAGAGCGAATTGGAAAAGTATTGTTAAAAGCACGCCAGAATTATTAAATCAGTTAGAATTCTTATGTGTTAAAGATACCAATAGTCATTACTAGCGTGAAAATTAAAAATAGCGAATAACAATACTACTACTACTATTACTACTACTACTAATAATAACAACAACAATAATAAAAACAACAACAATAATAATAATAATAATACGATGATAAAAAAGAAAAAAAAATTGAGGTTCTAAACGTTAGAGTGATAGAGATTTTAAGCGACAACCAAAGACGATCGCAGGTAAAACTATATGAACATGGTTGTGCAGAGGGCATTTCAAGAAAGAAATAAAAATTAATTTCAGTACAAACATATTAAACTAAATATATTGAAGCCAAGATTATTTACATTATTTACATTGTTCAAACTGTTGTCCTTATCTTTGTTGCCATATTCACGACGTTTTTCGGTCGTTCTACGCTCCGGCCTTCGTCAGGTGATTGCAATTTCGAACCGAACCCTTTATTTATTTCGTTCACCGGGTAGATTGTTTTAGTTCCATTCTTCTGGATATCTCAGTTAAGGTTTCGAAATTCTAATCACCTGAAGAAGGCCGGTGCGTTCAACGGCCGAAAAGTCGTGATTATAGCAACAAAGATGAGGACAACAGTCCGAACAATGTGAATAATGTAAGTAATTACAATTTAATGTAAATAGTGTAAGTATTATAATACAATATTCCATACCTTTCTCAAGGAAATGTATGAAATCCTCTTCTTCTTGGGAAATGTATGAAATCCTCTTCTTCTTGGGAAATGTATGAAATCCTCTTCTTCTTGGGAAAGGTATGAAATCCTCTTCTTCTTGGGAAATGTATGAAATCCTCTTCTTCTTGGGAAATGTATGAAATCCTCATCTCTTTCCAGCTATGGGTATAAAGCAGAAATGGCAAGCTACTGCGGGAAAAAATCTGACTCGTCAGTCATGTCTCGAAAGATACATGATCGCCTAAGCGTGTATCACGCATGGCACATAACTGACTCAATTACAATGCCTCATATCAGAAATATAGACTGATATTAAAGTTAAGATATACAAAACAGAGCTCAATAATAAATGGGAATTACGGTAAACACGTTTTGAATTGAGTAAGAACCGCTTTGCCAGCTTTTATCCAAAAGCCCTTGATTAGATTCTTTAATTAATATTCCTGTCAGTGATGGTAACAGGGTTAAATGTTGAGTTTTAAGAGGCTGAAACAAATTGCATTGGAAGGGGGAACAAATGATTTTATGACTACATTGAAGAAACTGAACATTCACATGCAATTACCATGACGCATATCGTTCCTGTCACCTCTCTACAACATTATGAAAAAAAAAACGTAATCAGTTAAATGGGTGGGGCTTTACAAATATATATAAAACAATACAAGTGACAATAACTGGTGGCATTTATGGACGCAAAAATTTATACATGCCGCTTCGCGAGTGGGTGTGTGCGTGTATGTGCATGTGTGTGCGCGTGTGTGTGTGTGTGTGTATCGACGGACTTAAGTGCTTTAGAACGAATAAGTAAAAGCTCAAGTGATATAAAATATGTATTTGTCTACAAATATTATTTCGGTTCTGACAAGTGTGTGATCATAAATTTAAAAAAGGAGAAAAGGGATTCTCAAATGCAGCTTTTAATAACCAAAGCCATTATTCATATGTGTGTAATGACATGGTCACAGTTTATTATGCTTGTTGCTGGATCAATAAATTAACTTGTATTATAATACAATATTCCATACCTTTCTCAAGGAAATGTATGAAATCCTCTTCTTCTTGGGAAATGAATCTATCTATCTATCTATCTATCTATCTATCTATCTATCTATCTATCTATCTATCTATCTATCTCAGTCTGTTCATACATCTATCTATCTATCTATCTATCTATCTATCTATCTATCTATCTATCTATCTCAGCCTATTCATATCTATCTATCTATCTATCTATCTATCTATCTATCTATCTATCTATCTAAGTCTGTTCATACATCTATCTATCTATCTATCTATCTATCTATCTATCTATCTATCTATCTATCTCTCTCTCTCTGTTCATACATCTATCTATCTATCTATCTATCTATCTAAGTCTGTTCATCTATCTATCTATCTATCTATCTATCTATCTATCTATCTATCTATCTATCTATCTAAGTCTGTTCATATATCTATCTTAGTCTATCTATCTATCTATCTATCTATCTATCTATCTATCTATCTATCTCAGTCTGTTCATCTATCTATCTATCTATCTATCTATCTATCTATCTAAGTCTGTTCATACATCTATCTATCTATCTATCTATCTATCTATCTATCTATCTATCTATCTATTTAAGCCTAATCATATCTATCTATCTATCTATCTATCTATCTATCTATCTATCTAAGTCTGTTCACATATCTATCTATCTATCTATCTATCTATCTATCTATCTATCTATCTATCTATCTATCTATCTATCTAAGTCTGTTCATATATCTATCTCAGTTTGTTCATCTATCTATCTATCTATCTATCTATCTATCTATCTATCTATCTATCAAAAGAAGGAAAAGGACATATCATGTTTGCTGTGGGTGTTAATCGCATTTTAGAGATCGGAGTTCGAGCCTCCTCACCGAAAAATGTGGGGAAAAAAGAAAGAAGTAAAAAGAATGAAAAAAAAAACCTTTCCCGAGAGAAGCCTGCTCTCTTTATGTGGAATTTGCCGCAACATTATCTTCCTAGCCCCACCTCATTTTTTTCTTTTTGACTTGGTATGAAATTAACCCTAATAATTATAGAGTCTGCTTTGTAGAGATACATGAAGGCAATAATGGATACGCTTATAGCTATTTTCGACGACATGTATGTGAAAATATAATTATTAAAATGTATACCTCCCCATGTATGCAAAAATATTAAAAGAAATGTCCGAACGTTAATTAAATATTCCATTAATAGAATCTAATTTCAGAGAAAAGATTCGTTATAGCAGGCACGTCAATGTCTCTTGCAGGCACATATGCACCAGATGCAATTTAAAATTTGCTATGTTATGAATTTTTGAAATTGATATTTTTAAGAAGCTTCGCCATAATTATAACCATAAAAGATTCTATCTATCTATCTATCTATCTATCTATCTATCTATCTATCTATCTATCTATCTATTTCAGCCTGTTCCTATCTATCTATCTATCTATCTATCTATCTATCTATCTATCTATCTATTTCAGCCTGTTCCCATCTATCTATCTATCTATCTAACTATCTATCTATCTCAGCTTATTCATATCATCTATCTATCTATCTATCTATCTATCTATCTATCTATCTAGCTATTTAACCTAGCTCTATCTATTTCATCTATGTTCTATCTATCTATCTATCTATCTATCTATCTATCTATCTATCTTAGCCTGTTCCTATCTATCTATCTATCTATCTATCTATCTATCTATTTCATCTATCTATCTATTTCATCTATCATATCTATCTATCTATCTATCTATCTATCTATCTATCTATTTCAGCCTGTTCATATCTATCTATCTATCTATCTATCTATCTATCTATCTATCATCTATCTATCTATATCTATCTATTTCAGCCTGTTCATATCTATCTATCTATCTATCTATCTATCTATCTATCTATCTATCTATCTATCTATTTCTATTTCAGCCGATTAATATCTATCTATCTATCTATCTATCTATCTATCTATCTATCTATCTATCTATCTATCTCAGCCGATTAATATCTATCTATCTATCTATCTATCTATCTATCTATCTTATGCAGTTTCTCAGTATTTTCAAAGTTATAGCTTCAAATCTGACCAAATTCTACTCTCCATTCTCGACTTGTTCATATTTTTTATCTACTAATGTATGTATTTGTAAGCCTCTCTCTATTTAAAATCTTCTTACCATCTATCTCCAAAGATATTTATCTTTCTATCTTTCTATGTTTACTTTTAAATTTCAAAGCTTTCGTTCTACCTTGGTTTCTGTTTTCTTTTTAAATATTAGCAGACTGATTTGATAAAGAATTCTTTTAAATCTCATCTGTCAGTCTTATCATGCCTAATGGTCGACGCCGCTGAGGCTTTCCTTTTTTGGGGTGGGTGGGAATGGCAATGTGTTCAACCTGGTGATGCATTTTCTCGAACCATTTTTCAGTTAGGTCAAATCTAACCTTTACGATTTTATCTAAATACAAAAGTGTCTCGAAGGTGTAGGAGTTTTAAGAAACATGCCTTTGTCAAGATATTGAACAGAAAAAAATGTTATCTTGAAATCATCGTCCAATTCAGCAAACCAAATATGTCTGTGTTGTTGTACAGCTTATTATGGCAATAAATAAAAGAGAAAGTCTAATGATGACAACGAGAAAAAGTAAAACATCTGACAAAAGACAAATAAAATGAAGGATTCGAACCCCCCCCCGCAAAAACAGGTATAAGAGATGAACAGGGAATTAACTGCGAATTCAAACGATCAAAGAAAGAAACTGTGTGGGCATCGTTTATGTTTTATGTAACTGATGCTAACCTTCAAGCACCTTCTTGAGCTCACGTTTTTCACTGGGTTTGAAGTGAAATGATTATATTGAATCAAGTACTAGGTCTGCTACTAGGAAATTGGTTCCCTGTGTCGTGTCAGACAATATTTTTTTTCCAGAATCCATCTTGAAAATTTATAAATCTACCATTAATCCATGCATTGAATACGACTGCCATATCTGGTCTGGTACTTCTGTTGCATATCTAGAGATTCTTGGTAAAATTCAAAGACGCGTCTGTAATATAATCGATTCTGACATGGCACCTCGGTTCCAGTCACTTTCTTACTGATGTCACGTGGTTTCTTTCTGACTTTTCTAAAAAATAGTTTCATAAGAATTCTTCTGAGTTTATTTCTCCTCGGTGCCTCGACTACATGAATTGAAGCGTATTACTAGATTGGCAATTAGGTCTCACCGTTTTATCGTTGAACTAGCAAGATGTAACTATTTGTTTTATTCGAATGGTTTCTTTTTCTCGCCTGTGGGACTCCGATTTCTTGATTCCCTGCCAACTACAATCGCCATTTTCTGTTTTCCTGAATCTTCATTTCTCCTCACTAAAGTCTTCTCATTCTCTTTCACTCCCTGTACCCCACCCCCGGGACTCTCAGTGGCATTATCGACTTGAAATGAATTGGTAGCGATTTTAGTCATTTGGGTTTTATGATTAGATGAAACATTACCATAAATTTACTACATTTAACTTTGTTTGGCACAAGGTCGCAAGTACGAGGCACCCAATGAGAGTTAAAGGCAATACTCACTAGTAAGGATGAACTCCACTAGCTTGTTAGCCATCACCAGACAACGAACGCCTTTTATGAAGCTTTGTAAATTTTTAATTTTATGACTCGTAGTTTTATTCATTTGAATTCCTGTTATTTTTTTCAAATCTGATTCACCCCATATAAGGCAATAAAGCCGCTACCACACAAAGTGTTACTGGATGTGAAAGAATTAGAAAACAGAAACATTATTAAGGAGCATGAACCATAGATAAGTAAGAAAGTAGACAGCAGATAATGATTGACATTGCACATAAATCTTTGAAGATCAAATTTGTTCAGAAAATAAAAAGCCGGAAGAGAGTTCCACAAGTAAGAAGTGCAAGAAAAGAAACTGTTAGCATAGAATTTACGGTTACATCTAGTCAATCCAACTGTAAATTAATGAGACCATTTTTGTCAATCTGCGCTTAAATTCATAAGGTTTAGGTACCCCGGCTCATCCGAACAATTACCATGAAAGTATTTATAGAAAAGGCACAGAGAGGCAACTTTATGGCGGTGGGAATGGGACTGAAACCGAGATGCCAGGTCAGGACCAATAATATTGATGATTTATTTTGTTGATTTTATCAAGAATCTCTAAATATATCGCAAGATCACCAGACCAGATGTATTATAGCAATATTCTAAGAATGTAGGAATGGTAGACTTAGAGACATCTAAGATAGAGTCTTGAAAGAAAGATTGTCTAGTACAACACAATGAACCATCTATCTAAGCAGCTGATCTAACGATCTTTCCACTTCATGATTGCCGAAAATGTTAACCCGAGAAGGTGTAACATGTCACTCACTTGGAGGTTAGCATCAGCCATGCTGATGGAAGGCAGAAAAGGGTCTCTCAGATGCTTGATAATGAGCAGCTTTTTTTTAGATGCGTTAAAATAAACAAGCCATTGTTTACCCGCGTTAACAAGAGACTGCAGAGTGGTTTTGAGATCAGC